CTTGCATGATACAAATGAGTCCATATGTTCCACAGTTATGAGTGCCCTTTGTCAGCCTGGTCACACTGTCCAGTAGATTAATCCATCGACATACAAATGGTATCTGTCATTTAGAATTTGAGCCTCACCTTGTGGTAAGGTTAAAAGATGCAAATGTGGTGGCTTGCTACCACTCTTGTAGCAGAGAAGAGCTGCAAATAAACTTTGATTTAGGAGCAGTGGCAGCAGCCAGAGGCAGAAATTTGATCCCAGGTTTACTGTTTGGAGATAATTTGAGTTACTCAGTTCGCCTCACGGGGAAGACGTGTCCTTCTGATTCCATCTGTGTAAGTGCAGCGCCTTGGACACAGAGCAGATGTAGAAAAACAATCACCCCAGGTTATCACTTCATCTTAACTTTCTGTGATTCCAAATTTGAGTGGAGATGTATCCCTACAGCCCCGTACTCTGACAACAGGCTTGCTTTGATTCTCTGCGGGATCCCCTTTTCCTCCCTTCCTGATGGTTCAAAGTGACTGGAATTCTGCGAGAACTCTTGCAGCTGACCAGAAAGGGCTCTCCGCAAGCCTTGACTGTAGCAGCCGTGCCTGCTTCATTTGTCCTACACACAGTTTATTGGGTTTGATTAATTTACATATGTTTAAAGGTTTGTGTCACAGTGTGTCTGTAATTGCATATTGTACTGATTGCTCTATTTTCAGTCTTCTCTTTAGAAGTTAAGAATCCACCAGTTAATAAAACTTTTTTTAGTTTTTGGCTTGGTCACTTGTTAGTTTCCCCAAAACTGCTTTTCTGCTTTCAATCCTGACTTAATCCCTTCGGTGCTCAGGTTAAGAAGGATGCTATTTGAGGTTTTACATTTTCTGTATTGACAACTTGTTTGCATTTTCCTCTTGATTGCTCCATTGATGAGGCTGACGGCGGAACTTCCTGCAGTGAGTGATTCAGTGGGGGGTAGGTGCATTGTATTGCCAGTCTCCAAAAGCGTGATTAATGAAGAGAGTTGTCTTTTTTTTTTTTTTTTGTATTGTTTAACCAGAAAGAAGGTTCAGAAAACAGGACTTCTCACCAAGAATTCAAAATCTGCAAGAATGGGCTCTGGGGCAGATGCAGGAATTTCAGCATTGGAGGTGGGGGTGTGAAAAGAAGCCCCACAGAAAATTCAGTTTTTAGTCTAAGAAGTCTGCTTCACAAGAACAAATTCCCCTAGAGTAAGGCCCTTTGCAGTCGGATCTGCTGGTGCTATCGAGCTGGTATTTCAAGTATGTCCATCTGCATTTAAACGAATTGCTCCAAGACAATCTGATTATGCGGTAGTTACTTTGGTGAGAATAGCGCCTCAGTGGAATGGAAACTTCATTTGAGTCTAATATTAGACCTTGCTTTGGAAAATTCCTTTTAAATGATCACAAGCTGGGAATAGCAAAAGAATTTAACTTTCGACAGACAGCATTGACCAAGAATTTTTAACTGCTTATGTTTGGGTTCTTGGGAAAGCAGATGTGAGAAACTGACCAGACTGAATTGACGAGACGAGAATTGACTTGACCGGATGAGCCCGTGTTTATATCTGTGGCTGATAAGTTTTGCTCATAGTCTCGTTTGCTGAAAATATTTTCATTCTTTGAGCATGAGCGTGCTAAGGATGAAAATTGTTAGGATGCCTAATTGTCTAGCAATCTAACCTTCTAGGCTTCCAGACACTGTTGCCTGGAAAGGGGTCTGAGCCAGAGCAGGAAAGGGCCAGCAGCCCCACGGAACCAAAGGCGGTTTCTGAGTGAGCGCTGGGCACGCGGTCAGACCTGGCCTCCGGGGAGTGTTTCCCATTGTCTGGTATCCGAGCGAATTGGATCAACTCGAGGCTTTAAGTAAATGTTATTTAAAGGACTGCATCCCCCACCCTAACCCCCCCAAAAACCCATCCTATGATTAAAATATATATATATACATGTTAACTGATCTTGAAATTTCTATACTATGTCTACTCGGCTTACTTTAAGGATATACTTTAGATGCCTCACATACCTTGTACAGGGAACACCAGTATTGGTGTGAGAGACGAGTTTAATATTTTAAAAGATTTTCTGAAGTTGAAGTACACTTTTAATCACAGTGTGTGTTTAATGTAGTGTTTTTCTTTTCGTTGCCTAAGCTGGTAGTAAATTGATGATGCCTTATAATTGAAGAATATTTTTTGTTTGTTTTTTAATTTTATATAGTTATTTTTCAAGTACAGTTTTTTGTCTATTTTTCCCATCCCAGCCTCCCCCGCCCCTTGCTCCCCACCTCCCTCCCATTTCCACCCCCCTTAGTTCTCGTCCCTGAGTCCTTCCTATTTGTTCCTCCAAATCCCTCCCCCTTTTTCCCCTTAAACTCCCTCCCCTCTTCCCTCTGGTCACTGTCCCCTTGTTCTCTATTTCAGTGTCTTTGTTTTTTTTTCTGCTTGTTTGTTTTGTTGTTTAGCTTCCTGTTAAAGGTGAGATCATATGGAATTTGTCTTTCAACACCTGGCCTATTTCACTCAGCATAATGCTTTCCAGTTCCATCCATGTTGTTGCAAAGGGTAGTAGCTCCTTTCTCTCTGCTGTATAGAATTCCATTGTGTGTATGTACCACAATTTTTGGATCCATTCATTTACTGATGGGCACCTAGGTTGCTTCTAACTCTTGGCTATTGTAAATTGTGCTGCTATGAACATTGTGGTGCATAGGTTCTTTGATATAATTGAAGAATATTAATTAATAGGAGTTACCATTTATTGATCACCCCATGGATCCCAGGCACTGTCTTTGTTCTAGATACCAACATTATATATATCTCTGAAATTCACAATAATCCCAGGGGCATTGCTTATTAGGAGCCTGGTTTTGGAGGCAAGGAGACTGAGGCTCAGAAAAGTTTTGTAGTTTGCTCATGAACACACAGCCAGTGACAGTTAATTCCTGGCAGCGTCAGGGTTTAAATCCGGAACTGTTCAGTTTAGAGCACATGTTCTTCCCTGTGGATTATACTGTTTGGTATTTATAGTGTTTGAAATTAAACCTGAGAAATTCACATTTACTTATTAATTTTCTCTTCTTCTTCTTCTTCTTCTTTTTCCTTTTTAGAGAGAGAGAGAAACATCAATTTGTTGTTCCACTTATTTATGCACTCATTGGTTGTTTCTTGTATGAGCCTTGACCAGGGACTGAACCCATGACCTTGGCGTATCAAGATGATGCTCTGACCAACTGAGCTACTCAGCCAGAGCCTATTAATTCATTTTGTATTTATTTATTTATTATTTTTAATCACTCGAGGACATATATATTGACTTTAGAGAGAGGAGAAGGGAAGGAGAAAGATAGGGAGGGAAACATGGAGGTGAGAGAGAAGCATTGCTCAGCTGCTCCTCATATGTTCCGTGACCGAAGACTAAACCTACAACCCAGGCATGTGTCCTGACTGGGAATTGAACCCACAGCCTTCTGGTTTGCTGGATGATACCCAACCAACTGAGAGCCACACCAGCCAGGACATCATTTTGAAAGGACAATAATAAATCTATTTTATGTTAACCTAAATAACATTTAACTTAAAAATCACTATTCAAAACAAAACTATTAAGGAATGTTACTATTTATTTTTTTTGCAAATGTTTTTATTATCTAGCTAATTAGAAGGCAACTGGATTCTTTTCTGCATTTAATCTGTGTAGTAGACTGTTTTAGTTGAAATGTATAGAGAGAATCTGGCCTCAGATATGTGTTTGGAAAAGGGGGGCTATTTTAGTAGTCTTTCTGGGTAATTGTAGATACTCTCTTTTGATGTTACACCAAAACTCCACAAGTGATAGTTTCTTAAAGGTTCGTTGCTTGTTTTTTCATTTTTAGTCTTCTGTTTTCTTTAAAGGTTTGTTGCAGTGTAGAATCTGAAACTACACCAGTGGATTTTGGGTGCAGTTACGTGAAAATCCTTCGGTTTGAATTCTTCTTTTCAAAGAATTCTGAGTGGGATATTTAGATCCTAACGCACTCCAGGAAGTAGAGTTGAATTCCTACGGTCACCCATCCTTGGGGGGCGGGAGGGGGGCTGACCTACCGACTTGCTTCCCGAGACTACGATCAGGGAGAGGGAGAAGCGAGCGACTCCACAGCGGAGAGACCTGAGGACACCCCCACACACCCAGGGGGCGGAGGTGCGCGCAGCCGGCCTGTCACGCGGCGGCCAGCGGGGTTGCTGCTTTCCCTTAACATGACAGGCTCCTTTCCTTCGCTCCTAGGAAAGTGTCTGTCACGTAAGTCGAAATGCCATGGTTTGCCTGGTATTAGTCTATCGAGTAGACTGCTGCTCAGTGAAAGAAGTGGCCAGAGACAGCAGCGCTCGTGCCTTTGCTCCCGACCCATCAGACGTGTCTCATGGCCTCCCCATGACGTCACGTAGAATATTCACAGGCGGGTGCGTGGGGGTCAAGATGCAATGAAATGAAGAACTTTACTGCCACGGGAAGGGCATTCTTAAGGGAAACGGACCCCCGCCCCTTTCACTAGGTGCGTGGTGGTGGCTCCGGTGACGCCAGTGCGCCTGCCCCGCTGTCCTAAGGGGCGCCCTCGGCCCGAACACCGGCAGTTTGGCTTCACAGACCTTCTAGGAAGGGTCCTGTGTGTCCTCGGGGATCCCCAGAACCGCCCTCCTAAAGGAAAGTGGCAGCTGCTGAAAGGTCACACGGGAAGAGCTCACGCTACTGAAGACCAGTTGCACTGGGAACAGAGGGTGCCATTGCGGGCAGCACCAGGTGTGGAGAAGGCGATCGCCGCTGGCTCGACGGCCTCGCCCTGGGTGGTAGCCCAGGACGCTTTCCCATCCGCGGTGTCTCCTGACCAGTTTACGTGCTGAAGCGCAGACTTCCACGATCTGCTGTCCGCATTTGCTGCTGCTGTGTTCTCCACGATCATCCCTGAGACTGTATCCAGGAAATTCAGAAACTTACCTCTTGACCTTTGTTTTCTTTTCTTTAAAGGTAAATCTCACCTGGCTATTGTGCAGCGAGTGAACAATGAGGGAGAGGGGGACCCATTTTATGAAGTTCTGGGAATTGTCACCTTAGAAGATGTGATTGAAGAAATCATCAAATCTGAGATTCTAGATGAAACAGATTTATACAGTGAGTAGCATTGCCTGAGTGTCATTTCCCCAAACCTTTGATTTTGTGGCATGTTGGTTGTGAGTCATCTGACATCTCTCCAGGTGCGGTCTGCCCGTGTCTAGTCATGCGCTCTGTGTGTGCAGACTGAGGACAACCCATCAGTGCTGTCCGGGGCCTTCACCGGGGGCGGGGCAGGGCGGGGCAGGGCCCTGTGATGTCCCCTGGCAACATGTGTGTGTTTTGAAAAGCCAGCCTCTCCTAACCATTGATCTGGGCACTACTTGCCCTGACCAGAAAACTCCATTTTGCACAATTAGGTAAATTATTTTCAGATAAACTCCTGTTTCTGCTTAAGGTCACAATTCAAGTACTTAAAAAGTGACGGGGATTTGTTAAATTGACGATAAGAACTGTTTAAATTTTCTTGCTCCTATGGATCAGGGTAGAGGTGAGGTTTGCACGTGTAGTTTTGCTGCGGCAGTGGTGGTGAAGTGGGGTGTAAGAGCAGGACAGGGTGGGATACGCAATGAAAATGTGTTTTTCTGCCCTGGCTGGTGTGGCTCAGTGGACTGAGCACCAGCCTGTGAACCACAAGGCCAGTGGTTCAATCCCGGTTGGGATACGTGCCTGGGTTGCAGGCCTGGTCCTCAGTTGGGGGGTGTGAGAGGCATGCTGATCTTTCTCTCACCCTCTCTCTCCCTTCCCTTCTCTGTGAAAAGAAATAAATAAAAATCTTTATAAAGGTGTTTTTCCCTTTTCTGCTTCTCTTCCTTCTCTGGGGGCTGGGGTAAGGAGTGGCGTGGATCAGCAGGGGGTCGGGGGAGTGGGGGATATCCACACCTGTTATCCAGGAGTAGGCTAGATCCCGGATCGAGTGTTGAACCTGAATCCTGTCCTCCTCAAGTCTACAACTGGAGAGTGGGCTGTGGAGCTTACATCTTTCTTAGCCTCACTCTTAGCTAAGTAAGTTTCTTTCAGGATTCCAAAGATGGCCAAGGCTTGAGATGTTTGGGGTCTCAAAGATGGGACAGAGGAAGAACATTTGGGCTCTGTTTGTCCTGTTAGGCTTTTGAAACATGATTTAGAGGTGAGAAATGGATTATTCAAATGGCCTGGGCACTCAGGACAAACCCCGCCTTGCTCAAAGCAGAGTGATTATATTCAGTTCCACAGGAACGTGCCTTATTTTATTTTTTTAAGATTTTATTTATTTATTTTTAGAGAGAGGAAGGGAGGAAGAAAGGAACATCAATGTGTGGTTGCCTCTCGCATGCCCCCTTCTGGGGACCTGACCCATAACCCAGGCATGTGCCCTGACTGGGAATTGAACCGGTGACCCTTTGGTTCACAGGCCAGCACCCAAATCCACTGAGCCACACCAGCCAGAGTGAATATCCCTTATTTTAAAACTGAGAGAGTCTTCTATGTACCCTTAAAAGAATAAATTTTATATTAGCCAGTGACCTGCTTCTGAAATGTTTCTTTTTTCCGCGCATCTGTGCAGTGTTCTTAAAAGGCACCAGTTTCTGTGTGGTTTGTCCTTTTGACACTTGGAGAATAGTTGGAGGTCTCACAGTAGAGAGTATTATGTGTGTCTTCATTCTTTTCATTGTTCTTCACAGTGACTCTTTGATACCAAGTGTGTACGTGTGTACTTAACGTGTTTTCCCAGGGGGGTTATTCATCATAAGAAAGATAATTTAGACATTAATGAGGTCTTATGTTTGTACTTCAGTTAACTTCTTTCAAACCTTGGTTAAACTGATTTCATACAGAAATGTTGCCTAATGTAACTTACTGATATGAAATGCTGAGCTCGTGGTTTCATGTATATTCATTTAAAAAAAAGATGATATTTATCTATTTTTAGAGGGTGGGTAAGAGAGGGAAAAAGAGAGAGAGAGAAATGTTGATTGGTTGCCTCTCACATACCCCCAAACAGGACCTGGCCCATAACCCAGGCCTGTGCCCTGACCTGTGACGGAACCAGTGATCTTTTGGTTTGTGGGAAGGTGCCCATCCCACTGAGCCATACCAATAAGGGTGGTTTCATGTGTATTCTTGATTTAGATAAGTGTTCAGGGATGATGACTTTCGTTATTAGAAAATTATTTTAAAATTTTGTGTGGATTTATACTGACTGATTCTCAAAAGAATTTGAGGTAGAAGAAATTATAAATTGTAATCATCTTCTTCCAGGGAAAGCCCAGTAAACAATCTATTTTACCATGGACAGAAAATACTAGGGCAGACTTTTCATTCTTGGGAAAAAGAGCAAGCATGTAGGGCCTTGCCTTTAACCTAGTTTTTTTCCTTGATCATTTCTGGTCCAGAAAAATACTTGAAAAAAGGTTTTGCATTAGACCTTCTAGATCAGGGTTGGCAAACTACAGCCGGTGAGTGCCTGCTACCTGTTTTTATATGGCTCACAAGTTTAGAATTTTTTAATTATTGAAAAAAAAATCAAAAGAAGAATTATTTTGTGACATGTGAAAATGTCATGAAATTCAAATTTCATATCTGTAATAAAGTTTTATTGGAACACAACCATCTCATTCATTCACATATGGCTGCTTTCGCTGAATAACAAGAGTTGAGAAGTTGCAGCAGAGGCTGCATGGTCTTCAGAGCCTGAAATGTTCGCCACCCAGTCCTTTACAGGGGACATTCAATGACCTTGTTCCGGATCACTTTCTTTGTATTTACTTGACCTTGAGGATCTCGTGGTCTGGGGTGGAAATGTAGCAAACAGGTGTTACGATTAAAACGCTGTTCTATGAGAGTGTTTTTGTTTCTTCAGAGATTTTGCCTGTGTATTTGTTTTTTCTTTGAGCGCAGGCTAGGAGCCTCCTGAAGGCAGGCACACTCTGCTGGTGTCCACTGTGGCACAGCCGCTGTTCTTTACTGTGGTGCGCTGACCCTGTGTAGCAGGAGACTGCGCCCCAGGCCACATGCTCTGTGGCTGTGAGGTACCATAGGTTCTGTGAGGGGACGGCTTTTGCCAAGGCTGCCCCATATGGACTCGTAAGGGTTCCAGAGACCTTCATGAAGTATGTTTATAGTTGCTACTGATCAGGTTGCCTGTTACTTACTTTGAATGGCGTTACAACCGTGCAGCTGATTCGATGAGGGTCCTCTCTTCCTTCTTTCCATGTGGGGTTTGGGGACGGAGTGTTCACAGTCTGGCGAGTCTAGCCTGTCCAGGGTACTTTGTTATTTTCGTTCAGAAAGACCCCTGACCTAACGGAATGCACTTCCTTCCTTTTTTCTTATTCTTTCCTCAGCGGATAACAGAACGAAAAAGAAAGTGGCCCATCGTGAAAGAAAGCAAGATTTTTCTGCCTTTAAGCAGACAGACAGCGAGATGAAGGTTAAAATATCACCACAGCTTCTCCTGGCCATGCACCGTTTCCTAGCAACAGGCAAGTACAGCTTATCGGTGTTTGAAATCTCTACCAACCCTGGCTTGTGTTTCTTGCCCACCACTGACTGGGTTGGGCTGGGGTGGAAACTGGGAAATGGGGTGAAAGTAATGCCACTTTTGTGTTTTGTTTTTTGTTTTTTTCTTTTTAAATTCTCTCCTCTCCTATGTTCAGTGTCGGCATGAACTCTCTGAGACATTTACCAGGGTGGACCAGTAACTTAAAATTGGTCTGAAAGGTAAGGATGAATGTTAGTGCCACACTGCATGTGAACGGTAGGCCAGGTCATCCGCTTCCAGCTAAGGCCCTGGGAGAGCAGCTGGCCGAGTAGGCTGACAGCGTGACGCAGACACCACCTCACTGTGTGTTGGACAGTTGAGTAAATTCTCTCTTCAGTTTGCCTCGGAAGAGCAGGTGGATGTCAGTGGTAACACAGGTGCTGTGATTTGCAAAGAAGAAAAATAGATTTTCAAAATTAAATTTTTTATGGTTTTAATGAAATCGTAAGTTCTAAGAACTCGGACATGGATTTCTTGCTGGCCTCTTCAGATCAGATTGTTAACTTGGGCCCATTCCAGGAGGCAAGTGTGCACATTATTAAAAACACCAACCCAGCCGGCACTGGCTGCTCTGGAGAGGTCAGAGTTGAATGGACTTAAGAGACTGACTGGCCCTTCTCACATCTGCAGTGGCCGTCTAGGTGAAGGGTCAGCTCTGAGGGCCAGGAAGGGTGAGAAAATCTGAAAGCACCCAGTGACCTGTCGAAGACGTCTGTGTCTGAGATGGGCAGCCAGAGCCTCTCAGCTGCGTGCAGTGCACTCAGCCTGCTTTGCAAAGAAGGCTGCCGGCAGCCACGTGAGGGGTGTTACACGTGCTCTTAAGATCATGTTTGCGGATCGTGGAGATACTCACAACATAATAGTTACGACATGGGAAAAAGCTCGGAACTGAATGTAAAGCGAGGAAGAACAAGCTGTAAAACTGTGTGTACGGAAGACCGTGGTTGTGTTTTGCATGTGCACACTCATACGCCAGGCGCACACGCCCAGGCAGACACTGGGAAGAAACTCTCACCACCAATTGCTCAGAATGGTTACATGTGGTTGGTTTATAGGTAATTTTTTTATTGTCCTCTGTAACTTTTTCTGTATTTTTCAAAATTTCTGCAATGTACTATCTTACTTTGTTATTATAGAAAAAGAATAGAAGCTAGTACAGAATTTATAATTTCCATATATAATTTAAAATCTTTTTTAAACTTATGAACTTATCTTTAACACACTTGTTTATTCTTTCTCTGATTCTGAAAAATGTTCATCATTTAAGAACTGCGATTTAAAACTAAGTGTTATCCTGCTCTGCCTCTGAGACACCATGCAGCCCAGCTTCTGGGTTTTGTTTTGAATAAAATCGGTGTCTTTGTAAATATAGATCAACATAACTTTTTTTTTTAACGAGCAAGTTGGAGCGCATGCCGATGTGTGCACGTGCCTTGCTTTGACTCCGACTCTCTCCATGGTCCTGTTCCCAGACCGTCCTGGGTGTCTGAGTGGGAGAAGGAGACATGGGCCGCCGAGTCCAGTGGCCCCGCGTTGAGCGCCTGGCACTAACCCCACCAAGAGCTGCCTGACCTCCGCTGCTCCCTCTGGCTGTGGCCGGACAGTCGAGGCTGTTGTGGCTGTGGAAGGGCTTCCTGGCGGTCAGGGGACGTGTTTCTGGTTGGGCTTCGTGTGTGTCAGTTAGAAAATGAGGGTGTTTTGTGAGGATGGAAACCAGGGACAGGTTGAATAAGGAGAATTTTAAATAAGAAAATTCAGCATTTTCTGATTTCTCCCAGGTAATCTGCCCCCAGTGGATCACCAAATGGAAGTGTCATTAATTCACACTGTATCACTGACTCCAAGTATTCTTGTTATCTAAACACTTTAATCACTGACATAACTTTTTCTACCCATTTGAAGTGTAATGTCAAGTTGTGTTTGTATCTGTAGAAGTAGAAGCGTTTAGCCCATCGCAGATGTCAGAGAAGATCCTTCTAAGGCTGCTAAAGCACCCCAATGTCATCCAGGAGCTGAAGTTTGACGAGAAGAACAAGAAAGCCCCAGAACACTACCTCTACCAGCGCAACAAACCTATAGACTACTTCGTCCTCATTTTGCAGGTCAGATGAATTATTCAGCAGTGCGATCTAACCGCATACCCATCCTTCGAGGTCTGAGCAGCCGCCGTGCGGGTGGGTCGGGGCTTGTGAGCTCGGCTCCCGGGGTAGCTGTCTCAGTGGGAGGATTCTATCTCCCTGTTTGGGCATCTGTAAAGTAGTTCTAAGATAAAGCAGTGTCATTAGTTACTTTAATTTCCAGTACTAAAGGGCACTTAGCGATTGCTGAGGCCCCGAGTCAAGTGAAGAGTGGTGAATTCTATGGTACTTTTTGAAGACTTTGGGGGAGGTACCCTTGTATGTCTAAATCTTGGCAGCGCATTTGAGATTTAATTCTCTTGAGTCCCTTGGAACTCAAAAGTCTTTTATTTTTCCCACCCCCCAATTAGGATTTGGTCTTCTAGCTTTCTGGGGATATCTTACTCTCTCTCTTCCCTTAACGCCACCAAGATAACCCATTTGTTTTTATGTTCGTTCCTGGGTACTAACCAGGCTGTTTTTCAGAGGAACGACTGTCATAAGCAGAGCCTCTCATGGCAACGATGACTTAACTCCTTCTCACTCTAACAGCCCCCTGGGTGTGCTGGGAAGGTCCGCCCAGTGCGAACCCGCCTGGGGCCTTGGCGCTCGGGTCCACAGCAGGCCCTTGTGACAACACCACGCTTTGACTTGATAGAGCACCATCCTTGGCATGGAGGCCGAGATGGACATTACAGTGGATGAAGTGCTAGTCTCCCCCACTTCCGGTACCTCTTTATTGAAGACTGACTTTCCAGGACATCTTGACTTCAGTTTAATTCAAGAATATGGGCCCATAAGCATTCTCCTGTTTCTTGGTTACTTCCCAGACACTGATCGGGGGCATCGTTATAGGAGTGTGATTAGTGCAGTACTTGGTGCGCCCTCACCTTTGCATGCATCCGGCAGGGTCCCGATGATCTAAATGAATTCAGAAGGTTCTTTTTGTTCGAAAGTGACTCTTGTCAGATACCTAGGTGTCAGGAGCTCTGGGGGGGGCGGGGGGGGCGGTGCTATATTGGGTTTCTGCTCATGCCCTTGTTTGCACAGTGTTGTGGCCTCTGGAAGTGGGAGTGAGGAACCCAAGAAGAGTCCAGGCTTAACTGGTCACATGCCACTTCCGGAGAGGCTGTCTGGGAGCTCCTGATGTCTTCTTACCTGGGTGTTCTAACTCAATGCCTGCTTCTTCCAACCTTAGCTTCATTCCAGCCTGAGTTGTGCTTTTTTTTTTTAAATCCTCATTTGTGGATATATCTATTGATTTTAGAGAGAAGGGGAGAAGGCGGGGGAAACATCAACTGGTTGCCTCCCATACGTGCCCCAGCTGGGGATCGAACCCACAACCTGTTGGTGTACGGGATGACCCTCCGACCAGCCGGGCCACTTTGCCAAGGCTGTGGTTTTCTTCTATGGGAGACAGGCTAGATTGAAACTCTGTGGGGGCTGTGGAGAATTTGTTTATTGCAGTGAGGGGAATACTGTGTTTATGTTTCTCGTGAAAGCTGGATGTGAGTATTCCTTAAAGCTAGAGAAACTTTGAATTACGTTTAAAAATGGTTCTTTAGGTCCTGGCCGGGCGGCTCAGTTGGTTAGAGCATCGTCCCGATACGTCAAGGTTGTGAGGTCTGTCTCCAGTCAGGGTGCGTGTAAGGATCAACCGGTGAAGGCAAATTAGTGGGACAACAAATCCCTGTCTCCGTCTCCGTCTGTCCCCTCCCCCCTCCACGCCCTACATCTCCCTTCCCATGTCTCTAAAATCAATCCGAAAATGGTTATTCAGGACAGGTTTGGAGGATGGACGTAGTGAATTGCGGTAGTAGTATTAGAAACTGTGAGGCTTTCAATCGTCGATTTTTATGTAGTTAGAATTTATGAAGTTGTGATTCAGTAATGCTCTGTTCATATATAAGAAAGCTATTTTCTGGCTGATGGATCTGAAAAATAGATTTTATGGAAGAAGACCTCATAAGCCCTGTCCGTTCACAAGTAAACCCTCTAATAGAAAGATATTTTGGACAAGGCATTTATGAACATGTCCCTGTGCTGGAAGAGCCATGTCTCGTGTGTCTTGATGCAAATGTGACTCGTTTTCTGAACCGTTGAACCGACGGTGTTGTGGTGGTTTTGTACACAGTGTACGTGCTGGTGGAGGTGTTCAGATGGTAGTTCGGGAGCAAAATGTCTAAATAAGCAAATCAAAAACGCGATGACTCTTCCATAGCACATGACCAGATTGGGACTCCGGTGAGTATGAAGAATGGCAGGGAACGCGAGGAGTGGGCGTCTCTTTGGCGGTTTCACTGGCAGGACAGGAGCTGTTTTCCCGGGGTGCTGCTCGTTCTCGCTGACGTCACCCCTCAGATTTGTTGTGAGCTCTCCTTCCCGAGACCTGACGTGGAGTTGAGGGGACTGTTCCCTGGGAGCACAGTCTGTTCTTCGTGGGGTGGCGGGGGCATCGTAGAACTCACACGGCCCTTGACAATACTGAGCATTGCTTCGCTGGCCGCGGGAGAGGAATTTCAGCCTTCAGTACTGGAGCTCCAATGGGATTTTAAGTTTTGCAAGGCCTGTGTCCCAGTGAATAATGGATGCTTAGTCTTGAGTCAAGAACAAATAACACCATTTTAAAGAGAAAGACTACTTGGATACCCAGTGTTACCCATTTTTTCTTTTTTTTTATCCTTACCTGAGGACACGCTGATTGATTTTTAGAGAGAGGGGAGGGGTGGGGGCACGGATTTGAGAGAGAAAAATGTTGATGTGAGAGAGAAGCAATGGTTGGTTGCCTCTTACACGCACCTGACCAGGAACTGAACCCACAACCTAGGTCAGTGCCCTGACTGGGAATTGAACCCGTGACCTTTTGGTTTACAGGGATGATGTTCCAACCAACTGAGCCACACTGGCTGAGCTGTGGACCCAAGTATAAAAATTCTACTTAAATATAAAACTTCGAAGAAACTCCTTTTGCTTAGAACTCTTACATATAACTATAGACCAAAAACAAATTTGCAGTTAATATTATATTCTAAATGTGTAGATGGCATTTGGAAGCCCCAGTGGCCCCGGTGCTACGGCAGGGAGCCCCGGTGCAGGCTCGTCCGCCTCTGGCACAGCTGGGCGTCTGTGTGCCCCGTGACAGCTGAACCCTCCAGCCCTCTGCGAGGTTGGAGCTATTTCGAATGTTTGTGCAGTATGTGGTGCTGGTGTTTGGCCTCCCCTGGGTATGACTGAATGATTGTACGTTTACTTTTCCTCTGTTCCCTTCAGCTCAGTGCTCTCACACTTTGTGGGGTGGAGGAGTCACTTGGGGCTCTCGGTGAATGCACACCGTGACTCTGGGCTGTCCGGGCTGGAGTCAGAGGTCCTTCGGTTCTCTCCAGCTTGCAGCTGAGGGAGGAGCGAGGCTTCCCCAGCCACTGCGATTCCAGCAGCAGCTTCTGGGGTGGCAGCGCATGAACGGGAACACCCAGGCAAATGCTGACCCTGATGTCTGCTGGGCAGCGCACTTGGTTAGAATGGTCAACCCGATGGTCCAAAACACGTGTAAATTAATTCTGACCATCAAGTTTTTTAAACATTTAAACATGTATGAAGCGAACTTGCAGAGTCCTGGGACTACACCTGCAAGCCCTGGGTGGAAAAGGTTGCTGGGGGCTGTTTGAATGCCTGTCCCCAAAGCCCTGGACAGACAGACCTCTGTCCTGTCCTGTCCCCTCTGACAGGACAGCTGGCCAGTGCTGACGACCATGCCCTGGCACCTGTGCCCCTGGCATTTCGTTCCCTCCTTGCAGGTGTCATGGCCCACCAGTGCTTCATGGTGGTGATTTAAAAACAGAAGACTCAAGAATGAGCAGGAGACCAAGGAGACACTCAGGGGATGGTATCTGATGCCTTCGGTCTCCATGAGCCTATGGCATCTGCTGGTCACCTGTTGTGGTTTGTGCTGACCAGGATGGCACAGTTTCCACCCTGAGGCCAGGTGGACCGGAGACCGCAGTACCCTGTGCACCCTTAGAAACTTTGAGAAGAGTTACCCACCTAGTGCCTTCCCCAAAGAAAGGCGGGGTTCCGTGACGGCAGTGTCGCTCAGGAAGCCAGCTTTGCCTGGGACGGTGAGGCCTCCCTCCTCTTCTGTCAGTTTGCCAGCACGCGCCATAGCTTCCCCGGGAGTCCGTCTGTCCTGTCCTTTTTGGTGATTTGCTAGTGTAAGCTTGTCGATAGATGAAAAGTAAAATTGACGTGTAGTACCTTCCCAATATGGAAAAGGTTACCATTTGAGAAGATACCTGATTGATTCTGAGCAGGCAAGCCATCTCCTCGTGGGGCGGCCCCACACTGTGTCCTGGTAGATCTATTTCAAGGCAGTCACTGTGGGAGCCATGGAGACCCATGTGAATAAAAGATGTGTTTGCTGGGTGTTTCTAGAACTTGCCTGCCAGAAAAACTTCACTCCTGGAGAGGAGGGCACAGGGCTGGACAGTGTGGGAACTGGAGAATCATAGCGTCTTGGGGGTGAAAGAAGAACCTCAGAAATCCTCTGATCTGTTGCAGTTTTATAAGCGAAGTCAGTCTAGTGCAGTGGTTCCTAAATGCTGATACTTGACAAACTTTCCACGAGGAAAATAAAGATGGCGACAGTGAGTTCTTTGTACAGCTGTTGTGTATGCAGTTTAAAAACCTGTCAGTTTTCCTGAAATTGTGCATTTTGGGATTAAAATGTCTGATCTTTTGTGACTCGATGGTAACAGCAGATGGCTCTGTTTCTTCAAATACACTTTATGAACTAAACTTGGCAGCCCTTTCTCCATCTCCAGTACTGAGGCTGGAGGTGCGTTTTCCTAGTTCTCGGAACGCAGAGGTCCGGGGCCCGCCGACCTGCTGCATCTGTCCTGCTGCTCGACGGCTCTAGACCAGCGATTTTGCACTGGTCTGCGCAAGAACTCTAAAACACACAATATCTGGTATTTCGTCAGGGGTGCTGACCTCTTCTCCCTTCAGTTGTCAAGTAACAAAATCATAACAGCCAACACAATAGTTGATGGGAATGAACCACAGTTATACCTATTTTTTTGTGAGATTGGCAAAATATATATATATATTTTTTCTTGGTGTTAAGCAGATTTTAGTAATTAGGTTATGTGTGCCATGAAATGAAAAAGGTTGAAAATCGCTGTTCTGGACCCCGGAAGGAAGGTGGTGGGTGCCCCCCTGCTTGGGCGCCTGCAGAGGAGAGACCAGTCCAGAGCCCGGGGGTCTTTGCGTGGCACCCTCAGGTAGTGTGTGGGTGCACAGCGGCCGGCCACAGGCCGACGAAGGTCCGGAGCTGGGTGGCCGGGTGGAACCCCGGAGGGCGGCACTGCCGGCCTGCTGCCGGCCGCCCCCAGCCTCCTGCGCTCAGCGGGGACGCCCGGGAGCAGCAGCAGCCAGACACCAGTTTTGCCTTTTGTTGGTGGTGTTCCTGGCGGCAGCAAGGGACTCTGCTGCTGTTTCCTGGCAGAGGTTCGGAGCGCAGCGGTCCTGAGCTCCCCGGAGACTGCTGTCCCTGAGAGGGAGACCAGGGGGTGCCATGCAGGCTCCGCTGGTTCTGACACTTGATTGTTTAAAAAAAAAAGCAAGTGCACTGACCCCCATTCGCAGGGACCCCAGGACTCGCACAGCATGTGATCCAGGTCCCCCGGAGCTCCTACGGCGGACGTGGCCATGAGGCTTGGTTGCGTTGGGGCCTTCCTCCTGGCTTCCTGCGCGGAAGTCCAGGTTATGAGATGTGAGGGCAGTCACTCGGCCCTGCATCTCGCCCTTTCCCGCCAGCCTTTGGCTCCAGCCCCCTCAGCCACCACCTCTTCTCCCTGCACACTTCCTTCCCTCACTGCCCTCATGTGGGCCCCCGGTTTCCTGGGCCGCCCCTCACCTGATGCTGCATCTGTCCCTGTGGACCTGCGGCCTGTGCTTTCCCCTGCACCCTGACTTCTTCAGGGCACCTCCCTGAGTGCCAGTGACCCCCCCTCCAGGACTCTGACCCTGCCCCCCCCCCCCCCCCCCCCCCCCATGCATGAGGTTCTCCCTCTCCTCATCGCTGTGGTGGCGTAGCTGTGTGGCTCTCCTTTCGTCTGTTTGGTCCTTGGGTCCCCTAGTGGTTCCTGTTTCTCCTCCTGCCCTTGGTCACGCACAGGCTGCCTGCAGCCCGGTCCTGTCCTCTTTCCACTTAGTGCCTTCTCTCACCCACTCTCCACCTCCAGGTCTGACCTTTCTCCCGACCTTCATTCTTCATTGCAGCGTTTCCGGTGGACTCTGCCGAAGGGCATGTTTTTAAGGGGAATCTGTCCTCTCCTCCTGGCCCCACCACGGCGCCGCCCCTTCCTAGCTTTGCTGTCTCCACGCACGGTGTGCTGTGTCCCCTTTACTCAGAGCAAACTTCTGTCGTGGTTATCAAGTCCCCTTCTCTCCCTTCCTCTGATTTATTTGTTTGTTTGTTTATAGAGAGAGGAAGGGAGGGAGAGAGGGAAAGAAACATCAATGTGTGGTTGCCTCTCATGTGGCCCCCATGGGGGACTTGGCCTGCAACCCAGGCATGTGCCCGCACCGGGAATCAAACCCGCTACCCTTTGGTTTGCAGCCCATGCTCAATCCACTGAGCTCACCACCCAGGGCTCCATTCCCCTTTGATGATTTCTCCAAATTGTGTTGATTCCTTATCCATACTGATCTTTTTCCAACCCTGAGGTTACTACTCCAGTGTAAGGCTAGACTTGATCTTCCTGAAACCGTATTCCTCTGTTCAAGAACCTGACCTATTAGCCTGTCATTCAAGGAGCTTCCTAGTCTGACCTGCTCTGCAAACTGCCTTCCCTGGTCCCTGCTCAGACCCAGCCTCTCGGCTGACTGCTGTCACCCACCTCTGCCCTTCCTCCACACCACATTCTCTTGGCTCGGTCAAATCCCCCTCCTTAGGTGTCACCTTCCTTATAAAATTGTCTTTACATAAGAAGAAGAAGTAATTTTTTTCTCTGAAATTTTTTTAATTTTTAAAAAAGATTTTATTTATTTTTTGGAGAGAGGAAGAGAGGGAGAAAGAGAGGGAGAGAAACATCATTGTGTGGTGGCCTCTTATGTGCCCCCTGCTGGGGACCCGGCCCACAACCCAGGCACGTGCCCTGACTGGGAATCCAACCAGCGACCCTTTGGTTTGCAGGCCAGCGCTCAATCACTGAGCCACTCCAGCCAGGGCCTTTTCTCTGAATATTCTCTTTATATTCTTACTGTCTTTTTCCTCATGTGGAACTTTACCGCGTTGTATCGTTGATCTTCACGTGCTCTCACCTCCCTCCTGGACTGTAAGCTCTTACGGGCAAGGATTGTCCTCCCACAGCGTCCGCTCCAGGACCCTGCACAGCTGGGGGTTCGGCACCTATTTGCAAGTTTTTGCTTACGGGTGGAGTTTTCACTTCCTTTCATGTAGCGAGAGAATTTGGTTGGGGATCGGGAAAACGAATATACCCACTGAATGAAGGAAAACCTGAAAGAGAGACAATAAATAGTTTTCTGAAGTGATCTGAGGGAGGTCGACCACACTTTGGGATTTGGGATAGAATAATCGGGAGTGGTCAGAATAATAGAGTTTGCCTAGGTGGCGCAGCGTGGCATCTTGGTTCGGAGCTTGTCCTTTGGTGGCTTAGTCTTTCTGAACCGCACCCTCGCGGGTCGCTGTGTCTACTCCATGGAGCCGTGAGCACTAGACGGGTTAATCAAAGCACTGTGACTTGTTCGCACAGTTCCTTGACTTCAGTAAAGGTAGCTTAAATTTTTTTTAAGAATTTATTTATTTTTAGAGAGAGGGGAAGGGAAGGATGAAGGGAGAGAAACACTGATGTGAGAGAGAAACATTGATCAGTTGCCTCTTGAACACACGCGGACTGGGGACCAAACCTGCATCCCAGGCATGAGCCCTGTCTGGGAATCGAACTGGTCACCTTTCACTTTGCAGAATAATGCCCATCCACCTGAGCCACACCGGCCACAGCTGGCAGCTTAATTTTTGTTTGCCCACAATGAAGGATGCACCATGAAGATGCCCTGCCACTGAGAGGCAATGAGAGTTGTTCTGACCCCTGGCTTAGAAATCTAGAGTGCAACTCGCTTACTAGGGCATTTCAGTGGCCCAGAAAAATACACCGAACATTTCCTGTGAGGGATTATGGTGGACCCTAAAGCTGTGGGGATGAGTAAGGAAGGCCTGGTCAGTGTGTCCCAGGGGAACTGATAAGAGTGAAGGAGGAGTTGTGGATAAGTTGTTACGGAAAGGGGAGGAAAGGGAAAGCCTTAGGAGAGGTTTTGTCCTGATGGAAGGAGACTTTCTTAAGGCACTTTTCCAAGACAGGAGACAGTACCACGCAGCAGCGTGGCAGTGCCCCTGGGAAGTCTGGATGGCAGGGATCCGCCTGAGGGCCGTCTGCTCTGTTGGTCAGGGGACCCGGCTGGTGAGATGAGAGCTCCGCCCCCGGGAGCCAGTTTAGTTCTGTCTGTCTGTGGCCACCAACCATGTTGACCCTTGACCCTGACTGCTCCAGTCGGCCTCCTACAGGACAGCTCGGGTTACCATCACTGAGCATCTTCTCAGTTTGTCCCACCGATGGAGCAGGACATCATCTCTGTATCACTGGGACGGCTCCTGAAGCAGCCCCACACAGGATGCGGGGGCATGGCAAGTGGCCTAGAGAAATTCAGCACCGTGCTGTCCCTGTCCACTCCATGTCCCCGGACAATCTGGTTTTCTCTTCTTGTTTTAGAATGCCTGCAGGGGTAGCTTTTATTTTCAAAGGTTTTATTTATTTATTTTTAGAGAGAGGGAAGGGAGGGAGAAAGAGAAACATTAATGTGCAAGAAATACATTAGTTGGTTGCCTCTTTTCATGACTCCACCTGGGGACCTGGCCCACAACCCAGGCATGTGCCCTGACTGGAAATCGAACCTGTAACTCTTCAGTTCACAGGCCGGCAGTCAATGCACTGAGCTACACCAGCCAGGGCTAAATCTAGTTTTCATATTTACGGTGAATGCACCCTCTCCTCTATCTGGGAAAGATGGTCAGAGACCTTCCTCCTTGGGCTTATTGGGAAAGAAGGTCAGAGACCTTCCTCCTTGGGCTTATTGGGCCTCAAAGAAAACCTAAGGCAGGACAGAATCTTGCTTAGGGTTTGCAAACAGATGCCTGTATTTGGACTGAAAATGCCCCCTTTTCTTCTCACAGGGGAAAGTGGAAGTAGAAGCTGGGAAAGAAGGTATGAAGTTTGAAGCCAGCGCTTTTTCATACTATGGTGTGATGGCTCTCACAGCCTCGCCAGGTGAGTTTTCTTCAGCCTGGGAGGGCCCAGCCTCTGTTAGGAAATAGTGCCTTTCTAGAGTCACCACTCATCCCCTGCCAGCTAATCCTGTGCTTATTTACTTCCTGAACTTCTTATCGAAGTTGCTCATTATACAAAAAAAAAAAAAATGCGCAAAGCACAAGTATATGTAGTTCTGTGACTTTTCACAGACTGAGCACACCCATGGAAACCAGCCCCAGATCAGAGACAGAACCTCGTGACCCCACGGGGCCCTCTGCCACCACCACACTCCCTGCTAGCCACTGTTGCCCAGAATTAACCACTGTCTCGACTTCTGAGCATAGACTAGTGTTGCCTGTTCTTGAACTTCATATAAATGGAATTATACGTATGTATTTTATTGGGTCTGGCTTCTTTCGCTCAGTCACGTTCCTCTGTTATTGCCAGGGTGCTTACACTTCACTTTTCATTGCTGTATAGTGTTCCACTGTTTGAGTGTGCAAGGATGCGTTTACTCTGGTTGTTGCTGGTGGGCATTGGGGCAGTTTCCTGTGTGGGGCTGCTGTGGAGCATGTGGCTGTGGACACTCCTGTCCCTCGGTGGACATGCGTGCAGCTCTGTCCGGTCTGTGTTTAGGAGTGGGATTGTGAGGTCGCAGGGTATGAGGGTATCTTCAGCTTCAGCAGCTTCTGCCCAGCCGTTTCCCTGGTAGCTGTAGCAGTTCACACTGCACTGTACTGAGGGGGCCCTTGGGCTCAGCACCCACCACTTGCTATTGTTGAGTTATCAAAATGTTAACTATCCTGGAGGTCTTTAAATTTGCATTTTCCTAAGGATGAATGGGGTAGTTAACATGTATTTATTGCCTCTATCCAGCTCTTCTGGTCTAGAGAGCTGGCCAGTTGAGCCAGCCAGCTGGGGGTGGCTATGCCATGGGTGTTCACTCAGTGCTCTGAGTGTCTACAGGCGGTGTCTGTCCTGGTAGGAACATGGACACAGACACCTACCCGGCTTCCCTCTGGGATGGGACCTGAATGGGCCTCTCTTGGCTTTGCTCTCTCGGGGGTTTGTGTGTGTGCAGGGTCACTTGGTACCTTCCTCAGGCTAGACCAGGGCAGTCTGGTAAACAGAGGTGCTGTAGTGGCACCTTGTGGCCAAAATGTCAAATGACATGCTGTGCTAGGAAACATCCTAAAGAACAGTCACTTCTGAAAATCGGTATCAAAAGGGGAGGGCACTTCCAGACAAGGCTATTTTTGTGATGTCAGTCCTCACCTACCATGCCGCACGATGTCTCAGGCACCAAGCTGTTACAGTTGGGGAGCCAGGGAAACGTCAGGAGTCTCTCGCACTTCCACACCTGCCCTGCCCCAGGTGCGTCTTCGCACTATCCCTGGGCCAGGTTTCCGAGTCACAGGCCAGGGTCCCCACTGTCAGCTGCTGACTGACAGCCAGTGTGAACATAATCCTGTCCAGTCCCACTTAACTAGTCGGTGTCTGCTGCAAACTTGAAGGTGACCTTCCATTTTCACTACTTGTGAGGAGACATGGAGATTCTTAACCAGGTGCAGAAGGCCTGAGTCATGGCGAGGCCTCAGTTCCAGCATCTACAGTGGCCTGACTTTGAGAAAGGCCCTTGTCTTACTCGTCGTTAAAAGGATGCACTAAAATCACCCTGTGCGACTGTTAAAGGAATAGAGTGTACACAAGTGTGACCTCTACAGCTCAGGAGGAAAGGTTGATGTAGCGGGTGTAGAGACTGTGACTGTTTTGGGGAACCAACCTCAGATTACCCCAGGAGAGCAGAAGCAGATTTATAAAGTGGTTTTGAAAAGAAAGCTGGAAGAGTGAATTGTGCGTTTTTGTTGATTACTGGTCTGAAGCCCATACCGACCCAGTTCACACTGAACTACGGATGCAGGTGGGGCAAGTCCATGCAGACAGGAACTGGGCAGCAGGCCTTCCGTGCAGAAAACAGAGGGGTGGGGGGGTGGGGAAGGGAGCCTGTCCACCTAGTTTGGAAGTGACAGAAAGGAAAGAAACTTTGTTAATAGCATCTTGTTGTGAAGCCCAGTATTTTACTTGACTTTACAATTCAGATTTGGGATTTTATATGTTCATTAAGAGATGCCATTAGTACAGTAATCTCAAGATAATATTTCTATTAATTTTGATTGCCTAGAAAAATCCTACAGTAATCTGTAATTAAGATTTATCCAGTTATATGTCAGTTATACCTCAATTTAAAAAAAAACTCGGCCTGGTCAGGTAGCTCAGTTGGTTGTGGCATCGTCCCGATGCGCCAAGGTCGCAGGTTCCATTCCCAATCAGGGCACATACAAGAATCAACTAATTAATGCATAAATAAGCAGAACAACAACTCTCTCTCTAATAATGATGATGACAATTGAACCTGCCCAGAAAATAGGACTCTGCCCAGTCGGGCGACTCTGGCTGGACTCTTCAGTCGGCCGGACTGCAGCTCCTGTCTGACGTCTGAGGCAGCCGTGAGGAGGGTGCCTTGGTTCTGGCTGTTCCCAGGAAATCTGTGTACGATGTGCTTTGTTGACTTGCCTGTAACACTGAAATTTCAAAGTATTCCTAAGCAATTCAAAGCATCAGGTCAAAGTTGCAGTCAGACTAATTAAGGATGTAAATGAATGACTAATTGCTTGCCACAGATAGAGATGCTGTGGGCGGGGCTGTGAGTGAGTGCTGGGTAATTGAGCCTCTCTTTTGTGCTGTTAGTTGTGGTTTAAGTCCTTAAGAAGAGCATGTGTCAAGCTATATAACCCAATTGGGCATTAACGGCTTAAGAGATTTCTAGGTTAGTAAAGAAGCATGTGACTGGGATTCCAGCCTCCCCAGGTCCCTCCTCCTGGAAAGCAGCGTGCTCTGTCGTTGTTGTTATTTGTTTTTTAACATAATGTCACCTGGGCTTCGTAATTTCTGGAACTGATGGCTTACATTGGTGGTACTGGTGTCCGCTCCTGCCCCCTGATTGCAGAGCTCCTTCTCGCCTTTCAATACGGTCTCACCCTGTTTTTCTCCGTTTTTCAGTTCCTTTGTCCCTGTCTCGTACCTTTGTTGTCAGCAGAACAGAGTTGTTAGCAGCAGGTTCTTCAGGTAATTCTGCATGTTTCCTTTTCATAATTCTTCTGATCACCTCCCTGGCTCCCCACAAAAGCCTCCTTCAGTTTTCCTGTGAGCTCTAGAACTCCACCTTTCTGTGCCTTAATAGCGAGCTGGCCAGGAAAGTATAAGCCCACAGCAGGTGCAGAGGGGCTGGGGATGTGGACAGGAAGGCTTGGAACATATGAACAGTGCTGAACCCTGGGAAGGGGGAGTGATGCTGACCTTGGGTTTTCAGGGCAGCGAATGGTGGCTGCTTTTGGTTCTTTCTCTGCCCTCAGCAAAGTCATGGTATGTGGAGGCCAAGGCCCCGAGGACCTCAGAACCTAAGGATGCTTCTACAGAGCATGCACAGCCGAAAGCTGGAAGGACTGGGAACTTTTGGGGGGGAACCCACAGCGTTGCTGTCTCTTTGGTCCTCCCAGCATCCATGTGAACGGGGTACACACATTTCTGCCTCCATCAGGCAGGTGGCCTCGCTTCTCCAGTCTCCCCGTCTTTGTTTTGAAATCAGCACCATGCACATTCCTAAACAGCTGCTGGTTACTGCCCTGCGGGAGAGTCCGTTGTGCCTGGCTGGTATGTCCTGCTCCCAAACACAAAGGCAAAGATTTAATCTTTCTTTAATTAAAGTTGCTGGGTTTCCTATTTGATAGCACAACTTTTCTATCTGTATTTTGTTCCATGTAGCTTAAATTTAAAAAATGTGAGTGATGAAATTTGTGTTTCATAAGCCAGTTTCGGCAAAATTCTAAAATGCTGCTACTTGGTATGGGAAGCAATACTTGTCTTAGAAACTAGTGTTCTCTCAAATCTTTTCTCTGAAAAGTTCAGGGTGTTTGGGGGTGATATCATTCCTAAAGCTATTTGAATCAAACCAATTGGCAGACTATACATACACAAACATACCTGCACACATATACATGTATGCACATAAGTATACATATGCATGTTTATACATATGTTCTTATTGTTTTCTCCCCATTTTATTTGCTGGCATCTGCCACCTGTTTAAAATGTCACAGAAGCTGCAGTTGAGTGACTTTTGGATCAAGCTCATGGAAATGTCATTTGTTTTTTATGTTTCCCGTAAAACTTAAGGGATTTCTTAGCTCAGCCCACTCCATCTGATGCAGTAACAGAAAAATGAGTTTTGCGGGTCCAGGCCTTTGGGGATGCTGGCATTACCATAATGTCGTACCTAACAAATGGGGGTTGAATTAAACCGGTGATTTTCAGCTATTCCAAAAGGTGCCTTGTAGTTCCAAGGGAAGAGGCTGGGAATGTTTCTTGGCTGTATCTTTTTAGCTCACTAGCAAACAGGATTCCTAGGTAGGGTGAATTTAAAAACACTAAGATAAAAAGCAGAAAGAAAACAATTCTGAGAAGGCATAAAAAGGAATTAAAATTGGAAGTTGTTGTGATAATTGTCTGAAATTTTGGCACATAAATTTGGCGACAAAACACGTCCTGAACTGGAGGGAGGCCATTTAAAGTCCTTACTCTCCTTCGAGTGAACACACACGCAGACCGCGCCGGGCGCCTGTCCAGCTGCAGAAAGGCTCCTAGAAACGGGGTGGGCGTCTCCAGACCGGCCGCGGGGCTGGGCACTGGGTTCCCGGCAAAGGAGAGGGCCCGTCTCACCCAACCGGAGGCGGTGGGTTGCGAGGGAGCGGACTGAGAATCTGGATACGTTGGAAGACCAGGGAAGGGGCCTGGAACCCAGGAGATCACACCAGGAAGCAGAGCGCCCTCTGAACGTTTTGTTGTTGTAACCTTTACACTGTAATGCAGGAGTGAACACCATTTCGAAGGTGCCTGTGGAAATGGTGATGTGATTTGGGGCTAAGAAGACTCGGCGATACAGGGGCATCTCTCATTTTAAAGGACTTTTGGGTTGTCAGCGGGGGTGAAGTCATGCCGGGTATGGAAAAGCGTGCTCTTGAGGCCAGGCGTGTGGGGGAGAGGTCTGGCAGGAAGCCAACAGGGCAGAAATGGTTAACCATGCTTGTTTACCGGTGCTTAGCTGGAGTCGAGTGCTATGCTGAGCACTGTGTACGTTCTCTCATTTCGAACCTTCATCAAACCACAGGAGGCGGGTGCTGCCGGTATCTGCCTTTTACAGGAAAGGAGTCGGTGGCTTTGCAGAGTTGGAACACCTGATGGTGGCTCTGTTCCACCAAACAGGAAAATGTGATAGATTATTGATGTGCCCTGTTCACTTAGAAGAGAAGTGGAAGCAACAAAGGGAACGGCTCCTTTGGGTTTAACTTTGACCTAACAGTAGGAAATTGGTTGATGACATGAAACTTGGGGAAGCTGTGACGTGGGAGTTTTGGCAGGAAGTGAAGGCTTCATTTGATGTTCCTTGAGTACTTACCATGTTTTGTGCTGGGTGTCATGTTTTACGGGGACATTTATGAATGAAATCTCAGGCGCTGGTCAGGCCAGGGTGAAGGGTGGTGGTAAATAAAGTACTTGAGGTGAAGAATCGTTGAAGTATTTCACTTGGAGAACAGGCTTAAGGAAAACATACTGTCTTCGAACTTTTGAGGGCCATCTCAAATGAAAGTTAGCTCCCAGAGTAGAGGTTATTTGAAGTTGGGGAGGCAGTTTTCCATGGGCATGGTATAGAATTTTTCAGAAGTTGAAGGGCGGGACCAGCCAAGGGCCAGCTCCCCTGTAGGTGCGTCTGTCGGGGACACGTTGCACGGAGAATTGATCCATTCCTGGGACACAATTCAGGACCTGTCCGGTGTGGGCACCTGGTTAATAGTGTGGAATAGATTTGATTGGAAAACCACAGCTGGCAGAAGCCTTGGCGGGGGTGGGGGGGGGCTTCTTATTTTGAAGGTTTACATTAGACGCTGTGGTGAACTGGCCTGTAGGGGCAGCATCACATCTGAATTTCCGCTCTAGGGGTTGGTGTCTCCTAGGGTCGAGGCATCCCTGAGCTGCCTGATGGTGGGGGGGGGGTATTGTATTCAGAGACAAAGATCATAAGCTTAGTGGGGAGATTGGATATGAGCAGGTAGAGCTATTCCGATCCTTTTAAAACATGTACCGATTGATGGACACCCTCAAGAGTCTTTGGCTTTGGATTCTGGCAAATTAATGAAGTGCCACCTTCCCACAGCCCACGTTTTGTAGCAAGTACTTCTGTGCTTGGGCCATGCTTCCCCCTGGTTTGTGGTTTCACTGCATCTGGCAACGCTCCTGATGTAGGTGTGAGGCCCCAGGGTCTGGGTCTGCTCGGTGAGGAGTGTGTGGCCCTGGGGAAGCCAGGGCGTTCTCTGCGGGGGGGCTTGTGTGGCAGGCCGTGTGGCTGAGGCGTCTGTCATAAGTTGACTGAACTTAATTATTAGTTACTACTTCCTTATTATTTGGAAAATAAAAGGTTGCCTTTTGGGGGTATATCTACCTCCCTTAGAAGGTGGTTGGGTTTTTTAATTATTTCCCCCTCTGCCTCCAGGTGAAAACAAGTCGCCGCCGCGCCCATGTGGCTTGAATCACTCGGACTCCCTCAGTCGAAGTGACCGGATTGACGCAATCACGCCGACACTGGGGAGCAGCAATAACCAGCTCAACTCTTCATTCCTTCAAGTCTATATCCCGGATTACTCAGTGCGTGCCCTTTCTGATCTCCAGTTTGTTAAGGTAAGAGCAGAGCGAGCTGCTGCAGGACCTGGCAGTTCCAGGTCGAACCCACAGCCAGATGGCTGGCTCCCCGGCCCCTCCCCTGAGCTTCCCCTTGGCATTTTGTGGGCGCCCTGCCTCTAGCCACTGTGCCCAAGACACAGGTGGGGAAACGCATTTGTCTCCTTGGCTCTACCAAATGAGCTGCCAAATCAGAGGTGGCTCTTTTGGGAATGAGAACTGGAATCAGCCTTTTCCAACCAGTCTTCAGGAGCTGGGGCCTCCAGTGACTTGGCTGGCCCTGCAAGGGCGGAAGGCCAGCCAGGGTGGGATGGGAAGAGCCCTCACTTGCCTTCTACCCTGGAGACAAGGTGCCTTTCTCAGTCTGAAACAAAGACGTCTTCTGGAGAATGAGTCATCTTTAGCTGATGGAAGCCTAGCTCTACTTTCTAGTCTCTGAAATTTGGAGACAAAATTCGGAAATGGCTTATATCAGTAAAAACTGACTTGTTTGCCAGAGTCAACTTGAACTTTGAAAGGTGGCTCAGTTCGTTCTCTCCCGGAGAAACTCTAGGGGCCGTTCGGGGGATTTAACGTGGAATGACACGCCACCCAGACAGGGGAACCCCGAACTAAGCATTCTCTCGGTTTGTGTTCTGTACCATCTCCCGGCCCCAGATCTCCAGACAGCAATACCAAAATGCCTTGATGGCATCCCGGATGGACAAAACTCCTCAGTCGTCAGACAGTGAAAACACTAAAATCGAATTGACTCTTACGGAGCTGCACGACGGGTTGCCAGACGAGACGGCCAACCTGCTCAATGAACAGAACTGCGTGACGCACGCCAAGGCCAACCACAGCCTCCACAGCGAGGGCGCCATCTAGGGCGCCCCGCCGCCCACCCGCCCGCCCCGTGCCCCGCGCCCCTGTCGGACAGCGAACCCCATTAGCGTGAGCTTGTGTGCCATGCTGCGTCCTGCGACTCCTGAGACCAAAGACTTTGTCCCCTTTCTGGAAGAAGCAGAGGAGGTCGTGAGGGCAGGAATGGGCCCTGGAGCTGGAAATCGACAGCGAGGGTGTGGCCTTCGCCATTTCGGAGATGAACTACTTCCGTCCAAATAGAATCATGTTTATTTTTTCAGCTGTACCTTTTTATTATTCACTCTCCTCCTTCCTTGATTTGCATGAAGTTGAAAATTGTTAGGATTTATTTTTTTCAAAAAAAAAAAAAAGAGATCACGTTTTTAAAAGTGTCTTTTGCAGAGTTTTAAGTTGTCCTGCCTGAACTCTGCAGTGACCCCGTGATGTGACCCTGCTGGGACGGACTTGCCCCTCCAGTTGCCTTCCGTGGGCCCTCCCAGCGAGCGGCCCCCTCGTCTGCGGCCCGGTGACTGTCGCTGTCGAACCTGAAGGATGAATGAAGAGGACCGCGCCGATGCCCACCGACCAGCCGGGTCTGTGACACTGCAAGTGGCGCCTCTACAGGGACCTGCCGTCGCCTCTCTGAGCTCAGTGTTGTTTTAAGTCAATGTTTAACTGTGTCCCTTCCCCTCAGAAAGGTTTAAATTTTCTTGGAATGTGATTGTGCTCCCACTCTTAAGGAATTTTTATCACCAAAATGAATGTTAATGAATTTTAAACCCATGGTTTATCATTGGCAAGTGGCAAGGTGGCTTCCCCCCGACACGCCCGCAGCCACCGGGGATCTCGGGCGCACCGAGCCCTCCCCGCTGCGCCACCGCCCACCTCCCCACCCAAGATGCTGCTACACGGGTGCCAAACGGAAATCATCCCGGGCGTCGGCGTGAACGCGGTGTGGGGCGCAAGCTCCTCCCCTTCCCGGCTCAAGCTCCTCCCCTTCCCGGCAGGCTGTGCGTCGTTGTCAGAGGAGGAGCCCGCCTTCCTGCTGTGCTCTGTGCTCCACGCTGAGGTTCCCCTAAACCCGTACTCGAATGGGGGCACTTTGGGAGCCGCCAGCCCCTGCCCCTCTTTCCGGGGAGTCAGCTGTCCCTCCTCCTGTGTCCCTGGGCCTGTGGGGCCCAGTGGTGGCTGTGTCCTCCGCCCGAGGACCTTTCTGCCTCCCGCCTCTGATGTGCCCACGCTGCCCAGAGAGGCTGCCTGTACAACCAGGGTTAGTGCAGCCCCGGACGGGGATTCGGAAACCAAATGCGTGTTGTGGCCGGTTCTTGTGTGTCTCCACCGTATTTCAATACCCAATGCATCACGTGTAGAGAAATTCCTGTTTGAATTCTCAACCGTCTCATCTGTGTTTTAAGTGTTAGCCCAAGGGACACGTGCATTTCGTGGGCGACATCTGTACACTGAAGGGAATTCATACCAACCACAGTGTCTATGCAGCGATGTCAGTCTGCGCTGCGGCCTGTCCCTTCCAAGAGGAGAGTGTTGTCTCCATGGGGTGCCACTGAGCGGAGGGCAGCCCCGGCGCTAAGCGGCAGTTTTCTCCTCCCTCCTCTAGGTAGGAGTGTGCACCCCGGGATGGCTCTGCCGGGCGGGAGCTGTGCTTGGGGAGGAACTGGTGACCTGCTGGCTTGCCTTCTGGCGGGCAGTCTGGTGGCTCCAGTGTCGAATGCACGCTTGGGGAGGGGTTCCTCGGCTTGTCGGTTCTGCAGCATCCGGCCTCCCCTCGTGGGAGAGGGTCACAGGGGTGCCCCTAAGGGGGCTGAGGGTCCTGCTGCTGGCACCCAAGCTGCCCCCATGGCGTGGAGCCCTCAGTATGCAGCTTGACATTAGTGAGACCCTGCACCATGGTGGGGGTCTTTTATACACAGATCTTTCTGAATTTAAATCCCAATCTCTTAATCTACATCTGGCTGAGTGCACCCCAGTATGGCAGGAACTGGGGCTATCTGTAGGGTGTGCAGAAACTAGTGTTCCCTGAAGTGGAGTCTGGGCCTTGCAGAGGGAGGGCGCCTCTCCCCCGACAGCGGTGGGGGTAGGGGGGGCCTCTCGGCCCCGTGGGCACCTGCCTTCCCTTAGGTCTGGCGGAGCGTGGCCTGACGGGCCCGGGCTCCTCTGGCCTTCAGGGTCTGGGCCTGTCAGCCTCTCCTGGTCCATTGGCTGCTCCACAAAGCCTGTCTCGGCGCCTTGTTCTGGGGGAGCCTCTGAAATTATTTACTGTGCCCGGTTGCTTTCAGAACATTACTGCTCCTCCCCCAATCCTACAGCGCAGCGGGAGTCCAAGCGGAGGAGAAAGGCTTGATTCCAGCCTCCGCCTCCCTGACTTCAGGGAGGAACACAACTTCTCAGTACCTGGTGTGGTGGCTTTCTGTCCTCCCTATAAATGAGCTGGCAGGGGTGGCTTTGCAGAGGGGGTCCCAGAGGATGAAAGTCTAGCCTCGAAAGTTTGTATTTTTCTACAAACCACTCTTTACCTTTGACTATCTACACTTTTATAACAGGGAATACAAAGCAATCCCTGTCCAGACCCAGAGGAACAAGGGCTACCCTTGGGCTGTAGTTACATCTGCTTTGGGGCACACTCAAGGCTCGTAAATAACAGTGTCTGAGCTACGGGATTTCTTTTCCAGGCCCCACCTTCTCTCTGGAAACCAACTTCAGGCTGTTGAAGGAGAAATGCTGGGTCACGGCTTCTCTGGGCAACAGGAGAATGGTTTTGGCTCAGAAGGTCTATGCGATTCCCGTCTATGAATGGGAGTCCAAGAAAGACCATCGATAGTCCGGGTCTCAGCGCGTGGTTGTCAGTCCTTAGCATCACCATTGACGGTTCTCTTCCGGGGCCACTGGCTTTAGAAGCAGGGAGGGGAGGGACTGCATAGCAGATGCAGGTCCTGGGGCCCTGAGTTCTGCCGGTCTCTGTGGCGCTGCTGTGGAACCTCTCCTTTCCCTAGCAGCCACCCTGGTGTCCCAACTGGGTTCCTAATGTCTGAGTGTTCCCAGCACTGTCTGCTTCTTTGTCTGAACAGATGTGGCTTTTCCCTATTGCCTTAGAGGTTGTCGCCCTATGTTTCTGTTTTATAGTCTGGCAAGTCCAAAATCATGTATTTAAACTCTTAGGAAAACAGATCCTTAAGATTTGTTTCTGAATATTGGGTGCTAATATACTAGCTTAAGCCTTGGCCTTGATTCTTACAGAGTTTGAACTTGGAACAGTACTCGGTCCAACTCTGTGCTCCCCTCTCTCCTCGCCTCACTTCCCGAAGGCAGCGCGGTACCCATGCCAACATAGCTGGCTTCCCTTAGTGGGAGGGTGCAGGGTGTCAGGCATCTTGCCATTTTCTACTGTTATTTCAAGGAACTTGTGTACGACTGCTGAGTGCAGGACTCCACACCATTAATACGAAGCTTTTACTGTGAATACATTTACCTGTGCTGTCCCCAGGACCATACAACTAAAGGACCAGCTTTTTCAAGTCTAGAAGAATAGTGGTAGATACAAGTAGAACTGCATTTTCCCCCAGAAAATGAAGCAACAGTTACTTGGACTAAGTCAGGACCTGCCCTTAATTCCCTCAGGCCAAGTAGTGGACCTAAGTAGGCTGGGACTGATGAGCCTGTGTCCTGGTCGGACAGAGACACCGAAACCCAGCCCTGTCATCTTCCAAAAACCAGTGGCAGGGACCTGTGGCCCTCTTTGCCTTTCCTGGGCCAGGAGACCGAGGTTCCTCCACTGCTCCCCAGGGGTGACCCTGGGCAGAGGACACTTGGGCTGGCACAGGAAAGCGCTCACCTTGCTCCCTGGGATCTCAGGAGGCCCCGAGGGTTGGCTGGGTGCACACCACGTGACCCAAGCTCACTGGTGGCGTGGGCAGAGGGAACCGCCCCTTGGCTTCGATTCCAGAGCCGCGCTTCTCTGCAGGGGCTGAGCGCGCCAAGGCTGCGCTGGCAGTGCAGGTGCGGAGGCTCCTACTGTGCTTTCCTGCAGAGGACACAGGCTCTGGCCTTGGGCGAGGTTTCATTCCATTCTGTGTTCCGGGCTAGTGGTGCTTGAGTCCGGCAAGGGCATCTGGGCGAGTTGTAGGCTAGCCCAGAATTAGGAGGGGTGTAGAGAGTTCAATATGAAGGTGACATGGGGATTCAGAAACTTTTCCAATGCAAATTTATCAGTGAGTGACCTACTCAGTGAATTTTTATACCTCAGGGCCATTTACAAATCTCGATCTCTCCATACTTCTTTTGTATTCAAGAGGGCTGACTGGAGAGAGGATAGTTCCGAGAATCCCAAGCTGAGGTTCATTTGAGGGTGAGGGGTGCCCCCAGGACCCCTTGCTGATGTTAACATCCTCGAAGCCTTCATCCTCTGGGACTTACAGGCTCTCCTGCAGTGAATGCTCTCTCGCTCCTTTTCCTTCTGGTCAGCCCTGAGGACAGGAGGGAGGAGGCGGCAGTTCATAGCAACTGCAGAGCTGGGAGCAGCTTTCCTCCCACCTGCTCAGCCTGGGGACCTTCTGTTCCTTAGACCTTTGTGGCTGGCCCAGTGCAAGTAAGCTTCCTCCCTGTGGCACTACTGACATCGTTGTCTCATAGGAACCTGACATCGTTGTCTCATAGGAACCACCTTTAGTACCTTGTGACGGGAAATGCCAGGCTGGAAGCAAGATGGAAATGCAGGGTCTAGTGACAAGAGAGTCAAGCTCTAGGAGTTTATATGCCAAGGTTCCTATATGTACACAGAGCCAACACGTCCTATAAGACTTGAGTACATGTTTTCGAGTTTAATCCCCAGGGGTGTATCGAACACGAGCGAATTGGAAGAACGACAGGGAGCTTCCTCAGCTGGCAGGGTTTTCCGGCATTTGCTCACCCACATCTGACCAACGTGGATTCACTCAGAAAGTGATTCTTCTGGGGCCAAGCTCCTCTTCAGATTCAGCCTGGACAGAACTAGAAAACGGACCTGCTAGGGCCTGGGCCCCTCGGCTATGAACAGCCGGTCTCAGGCCTCCAGAGCAGAGAGGAGTGGAGGAGCGGGGGAGTGAGCGAGGCCTGGGGACGCCTCTGCCCAGAGCCCCCCCAGCTTCGGACTCGCGGCTCTCGTGTCTGCGCTCTGCTGAGAAGGTCGAGTGCTTCGGTCCGTGGACCTTCCTTGTTTCTGGAGTCCTCTAAATCTACAAATGTATATGCTTTATTTTATATTATTATTTATTAATGTACATACGCCTCTACTGTTAGTACGTCACCCGTGACTAAGACGAGGTCTGTCCTGGAGCCCCCCATCCATGGCGCCTAGGGTTCTGTTGTCCCTGAAAGTGGGTGAGAAGGCACCAACTTTCCCTTTTTGTCTTGAACAGGTTGCTGCTCTTACGTTGGTCCTCACGTCCCCGGGCCCTTGTATTGGGACCACCTCTATTCCTGATGACCAGAGTTTGGGATGAGGATGGAGGCGGGTCTCTCAGCTGTGGCAGGGCCTCTCAAGTACCTCCATGAAGTACTTCAGAGGTGGCTTCCCGGGGCCGGCTCTGTGCTCTCTGTGGTGGTGCAGCATGGCCGGGAGACCAGAGCCTCTGTCCTCACTCCCACCCCGCCACGCCAGGCCGGTGGGCCAGCCCTGCAACAGTCTTGGACCCCCATTCCTGCCCTCGGATAACAAAATCCAACTCTTTGGACCACGGAAGCTGCCTGCCCATCCTGGGCTTCTAACATGCCTTTTCTCGGGTTCGAGGCCCAGTGCCAGCATTGCCTTGGCTCTCAGTGAGACCCTGCTTTGTGTCTGTTTTCCACCCTCCTTAGCCTCTAACTCACTGTATCATAGTGTACATTCGATGCTTTTCAGCAGTGGAGTCTTCTGAACACAGTATTCCGAGCTGTGTACATAAACCTAAAGCACAAGTGACATGTATAGGTTCATGGGCTGACTGTCATAATGAATGCATTTTATAATTCAAATGATGTTGTAGATTTACAATCGCTCCTATTTATTTTGTACCAATTTATTTGTAAATTTTGTGATTGTTTTAAAAGGTTTTTGTTCATTTCTATTCTATTTAGATAAATGATTTCCTGTCCACCCTCCTAGCAAACGTGTGTTCCCTCTCCCGCTCACCTCTGCAGCACCGGCCTGGGCCGCCGCCCGGCTGCCTGGCTCTGCGGGTGGGAAGTTGGAGACTGGTTGTCAGCACGGTCACACGCCAGAACGTTTCCTTCACGCGGACACCACAGTCACGTGTTCAAGAGAAGTGGGTGCCGAGAACCGTGCCTCCAACTTACAGCCCTTTGCAAGGATCGTAACCTGCCCCCCATCAGTTTATTTATTTAGGGACAGACACCGAGGGTATCTAAATTTGCCCCTGAAATTTGCTGCTCAGTCACTAATAACACAGTTCAGCTGAGCAAATATCTGAGCTGTTCTTTTCTAGGCAAGACCAAAGGCCTCATGCAAGCCTCTCGGTTGGTTCTTGAAGATGGAAACGGCGCTGTGTGGGGGCCTCCTGTGCTGCATGGAGCCTGGGGAGGAGCAGGGACGCAGCAGGCGCAGAGGCCTCACCCCGAGTTAAGAACGTCGGGTGTCCGCACAGTGAGTCACGTTCCGGTGCCCTTCAGGACTCGAGGGCGCCCCACGTTCCCTGCCGTTCCAGTGTGCGGTCCACATCCCCCCATGACCACTTCCTGTCCAGGCTTCTGCTGCACCTTCCCCTCCTCACTCACCCCCCAGACCCTGAGGATCTTCTGGTCGAGGCCCACAGCCCTTCTGCCATCCACTCCTAGCCCACATCTTTTTGGGGTCCCTTTTTTCTTCTACTTTAAGTCTCTATTTTCAATGAACTGCTGACGAGATTGGCTTGGGACACTGCCTGACTTAACCACCATCCCGCCTTCCCCATCATTATCCCCAGGTTTTTCAAAGTAGAAGGTAAACTTCTATCTCAGAGAAGTGTTACCTTCCTGGGAGCCTGTCTGCATCCCTGGGACACAGAGCAGAAAGCAAGCAGGGCCCAGGGAAGGAACGTCTCCAGCACATCCACACCCAGTTGGAAATGGGTGAATTTTCTTGTGAGATGCGGTTTGCCTAAGCTCTGTCTGCGCCCAGGCAGCACCCACGTGTTGGTTCATCGCTAGGCTGTATCTCGAGAACAGCCCTGGGGTTTCTAGTTTGTGCGACAAACCGGGCTCCCCAGGGGTCAGCGTGGCACTTCTGAGGACAGGCAGTGCCCAGAGGTTCTTGTGGAGAAAGTGAGTGGTACGAACTGAACGACCTTTTTGTAGCTTGATTTCTGAAAACTTAGCAGGTATTTTCTAAAGGTAATTCATCTTAATAGAGGTGATTCCTTATTGAGGCCAGAACATTGAATTAGATAGCTCAGTAACCTTTTGCTTTCTTTATGTAACTTTTATCACTTCCTCTCTAAGCTCCTCACCTGTGCTTTTATTTTTGAATAAGTCTCAGAGCAAAGGACTGCTTGTGGGGCCCTCTGTGTGGCATTCTGGGGCACGCTCTCTCTCCTGGTGGGTGACTGTAAGGGCAGAGGACACAAAGGGAGACTCGGTTGCCAGGACTCTCAAAGTGCTTTCCCGCTCGAGTGCTAGCGCTCAAACAGTGGGTCAGCCTCAGACAGGACTTTTACCAGTTCTGCTACATCACGGATTTGAGGGCAGCGGGGCCCTAAAACGAACTTACTTGCTTCAGAATACCCACCCACAAGTCAAAGGTTACCTCCGACGAGAATCTTCTCTCCAAGACTGGACACTGAACAAACAGGTTTGCTTTTGTTGTTGTCATTGGGTTTGCTTGGCAAGTCCTCTTTCCCAGTGTCTCAGGAACTTGTGACACTTGAAAGGATTGTCTTTATCTTTCATGGGAAGAACGTGCACTTGGCTGCCTGGGCTCCTTTCTGCTGGTGACGTTTAGCTTGGCCCAGACTTGTCGGGCCTCGTCTACAGCCCTGGCTAGACACGTCTGTGGGGAGAGGGGAGCTCAAAGGGAGAGCAGGCGTCTGGGGGCATGTTCGTGCCTGATTCAGATCATGGAGCAATCATCTAATCCACCTTTTTTCTAGTAATAAAATGGAGCAAAGCTAGCTTCTTTTGTGGTCAGAAACATAAGGACTAGATCAAAAACTGGTCATTTTGTTTTAAATTGGAGAAAACAGATGACGACCTAGACTTGCAGTACCAGAATCAGCAAGCTTGAGATGAACTGTGTTTAATTGGGAGTATTTTGTGTTTAACTGGGAGTATTTTATGGTAAAGCTCTTTGGAGAGACTTAAACTACTGCGTATATTTTATCCTTGAAATTACGTACCTTTGTTGCAACAGATCAGATAGTTATGGCCTTGGAATGGAGACATCGTGCCTGAGGACAGGGAAGAAGGGCTGAGACCTCCAGGGTAAACAGAAAGGTCGTCTTCTTTGTTTGGTAAACAAGAGCATTCTTTTTTTGACTTGATTCTGCCCCACCTGCACACTGAGCAGCGAGGACAGTGTGAAGTGCGCCTCCTGTTGGTGGCAGTCAGGCCAGGGGGGCCGCGGGCTCCTGTGTTGCCCAGCTCTGCTCCGGGGCTGCTGGCCGCGTGCACGTGTCCTCCTGCTCCCTGGGGGTAGAGCATTCTGTTTTTTCTATTTTCAAGACTGCTCAGGGAGCTCCCCAGTAGAGATTTCATCCTTAGGGTCTCCTTAAGTTATGCATCATTGGAAACTGTCCCATTTGAGAAAGAAAAGAGCTCTGTGCTCTAGTCACCAAGAAGGAATGTCATGTGAAACCTAAGTACTAACATGGAAACTCCTAAACCCAGTGAGGCATAGGGCCCTCAGCTATATGGCAACAGCTAGGCCACAGTTAGCGTTTTCCCACCATCAAAGATCGAATAGTTTCCATGACATGGAATGTGGGCAAGGCCCCTACCCTTAACGCAGACCTCGATATGCAGTTGTCTGTCTCTGGTTATTTGTGGTGAATAAGCAGGGTATTTTTAAATGCTCCTAGCAGCCTTGAAAAAAAAGCAAGGCTTTAAACTTGTTTGCAAAGTATTTCTTAAGTAAATAAATCTGATTTAGAAATATCTAAGCATGGACAAAGTACTTTTAAATCTGACATGTCACCACCTGCACCTTTGGAGTGGTTGCTTAAAAACATTACCAACATGACCAAAGGGTTTGTTGCTGTTGTTATTTTAGTTCTAAGAACCACTTCTCCTAAAAGTGCCTAGAAAGGGTAGCTTGAAGGACTTGCTTATTTTGGGTCTCAGCAGAGCTAGGCATATGGTAGGAGGAAATCTAAGGTCAAAACTGACTTTTCTGAAATACACCATCCAAACTGGAATTGGCCATCTTAATGGAGGTGCATGTACAGGGTGAGTCTTCTTGCAGAGGGAACCCAGCGGGGCTGGGCTCCCTGGTGCCTCTGACCAGCTGCTGGCTGGGGCGGTGCGGGGGCAGGTCCCTGTTAGCCTGCACATGCCCTAAGACTGGAAGTTCTGTCTAGCACCCCAAAAGTGGCACCTGGTACTTTACAAAGCCTGAACTGAACACTAAGTGTTTTCCAAATACTCAGGAAAGCAATTCTGAAGAGTTGGGAGACCTGTCCGCTCACAGTCTGAATTGCCTCAGGTTTTTTTGTTTTTCTAAGGGGGAGGGAATTACACATTTCAAGTCCAGGTTCCTTTAACTACTGGCCACAGAGGCACGCACCCTGGCGCTTTAGCGCGCCCTGCTGCAGCTGCTGCGGGTGCCCGCCTGCCCCCTAGCCCGTGCTCCCAGCAGCACTGTCGGAGAAGCAACGCTCTGTCTGGGTCTCAGACACTCGGAATCTGAGCTCCTTTAAATACTCTGGGGACCCTGGAGAAGGCTGTGATGGACAGTGAAGGCTTACTCATTCCGGTCGTGCTTTTCACTCCTCAGTCTTCGTCCCCACTGCCAGAGAGACGTCTGACTAAAAGGAGGCTATCCCCTAGACCTTACTCGGACAGCACCAGAAGTGTGGCAGGTTAGAGCGAAGTGCTCGTGTTGGCTGTTGCTGTGACAGGGAAGGAGTGTAAGTCTTTTATTGTAAGTTAGCTCTGCAGTTATAACTCATTTAGAAATTCGCTGGCTTTCAGACAATTTAAGAGCACGGCAAACTGGGCAACATCTCTGCCTGGAGAATAATAACAACTGGGTGACCGTAAACCCATTTTCTAAAATTTAAAGCAAGACAGTGTTTGATTGCTGATGCGACCTGGTGTAGAGCCACAGATATTAAAAATGGTGCGGTAATAGGGCCTTAGCTAAATTACTGTTTCCTACGTATAAAATGAATTTTTAAAAAGGGGGAAAAATCTTACCCTATAGTCCTGTATCAAAAAACTTTCCGTGAAAAAATCAAGGCCTATTTAAGTGCTATAGATTCAACTACTAACCAGTCATGCCAGACTGTCTTTCTTTTGAGAAGGCCACGTCAAACTGATGTCACTAAGTTAAACCTGAACACAACCGTAATTACAGCTGTGCTACAACAGAGGGGTCCAAGCCAGTGTTAGAAATACCGTGTTTATTGAATTCTACAGCAGCTAAGCCACCTGCCCAAGTTGAGCAACGACAATGAGAACAGAAGAGTCCGTGGAGGTAAAGTAAGCGTCTACACCGCGCTGGGAACGGCCGCCGGCGCACTGCACTGGGAGGGAGGCAGGCCCCCGCAGTGCGGCCCGGGCAGACCCCACTCCCCATCTTCCACTGCTTGACCCCGAAACGCAGCCTTCGGCTCCAGAGGACAGCGAGGGCTGGGATGGGGCGACACGGGCCACACTAATGGATTTCACTCCGTTATGCTGTAATACAAGAAATTTCCTTTGTCCTCTTTCAGCTAAATTCTCTCTATAAATTTATGCCAAATGAGAAAAAGATTTTTTTGTTGGGTGGGGGAGGGGACATTTTTGGTATCAATTACAGAAATGTAGAAACAGAGGAAGACTGTTGCCTCAAGATGAAATTGTGCAGTTCACTCCAGGTCAGCTACGCAGCAAGCAGAGGACACTTGCGCAAAGCCGCTGACGGACCGCAGCCTTGCCAGTCACTGAGGACACTTAGAAGCTCGTAAAAAAAAAAAACCTGGCAGAAGACACGTCTGATCATGGAAACAGTGTGTTTCTCCAGCGATGCCCAGCACTATGTGACGCACTGAAAAATGGGTTTGGGAGGAAGAGCACAGTTTGTAACAGAACAGCATTTGGGGGTCCCGCTCCACCCTCCTCCTTCCACTCCAGACCCCCACCACCACACCGATGGCGAAACAGGGTCACAAGCCACAACACAGCTGCCTGCATGCAGTTCAGCTGGCGTTACCCTTGCTTTTCCCAGCACAGACTCCATGACAATCGTGAACCATCTGTGAAGAGTGCGGACACACGAAACTAAAACAAGTACCTCCCTACGGTTAGAACATCTTAAGGTCTTCAGAAACTCTTCAGACGCCTTTAATGCAGTGCCCCCCTCCCGCTAGAACCCAGACAGGGACATGGTCTGCTCCTGTGAGTCCTGCCAGAGCTGTTTACTGGGTGCTCAGGGTTTTGGTGTTCCTCTTTATTCTTCCTCCTCCTCCTCATCATCATCTTCATCATGGCAGTGTGTGATTTCCTGGGGGGCCAGTGGGAAGAGGTTGGGGGGTTTAATCTCACTGATCGACCGTGTCAACTGGTGCCGCTTGTAGTCGGTATCTTTAAAATCCACTGAAGTGCGGTTCCGGGTGGCGAGGGGGGACTCCACCTCGTTGATGTCCACGTGCGTGTGCTCCACGGTGGACTCATGCGGCATCTAGAAGGAAGGCAGGGGTCAGAGAGCAGGCGGAGGGAAACGGCTATTTCCCAGGTCCTCCCTCCTCTTCATACTTCAAAGATGCTTTAATATCCTGTCTCAGAATTCCAGTCTAAGAACATGATGAACCTGCATGGTCTTTCTTTTGATTAATGATACTTACTTTTCCACTCCCAAGGTCGTTCCACACTGTGTGCAAAAAGAGCACCTCCACCTCTGCAGGCTTCAGCAGTCTGGGTGCCGCCGCCTGACCAGGAAGCAGCCGGTCTGCCACCGGTGCTGGGCTTTCCTAAAGCACGTGCCACCCGGTTTTACGACACAGGCGTTGAGCGTGAAACAACCCGCCAGCAAGTGCGTCCCCACCTGGAGCCCAGAGGTGATGGGGTGCTCATGAGGCTGTGGATTGCACAGCGGGTGGCCGCACTGTCCCTCACCTTGCATTTACAGTCTCCGCCAGCAGATAACATGAAAGCGTTGACTGGGTTCCAAACTACTTTTAAAGTAATGCCATCGTGAGCTTTCCACTGTGAAGCTCCAGTGTTTGGTTGAAGAGGTCTAACACTCAGCTGCTTGCCTGCTGTGTAAAGAACCCTTTCCAAATCAGCCCCACAACTACTGCACACACTGGTGCTCCTCCCTCAGCTGAAGCTGATCCTAGCATTCCACCTTTGACTTTTTATTTGTCCATCTTCTCCGGCTTAACTGCTCCTTCCTAACCCACCTTCTCGAAAGGACTGCTCCATGGCGAGCTGTTTACACTGTTTCCCACTCTTCCTTAGAAATCAGGTGAAACTCACCATCAGAACTTGGAGGTCAAAGCCTTCCCCTTCAGCTTATTTCTTTGTGCCTAAACTTTTTGGAAACACTCAAGATCTACTGGGTAAATATCCACAGGAAGCTTTACTGTTTAACTTGTTTCACTGGTTAAAAACAAGTTCCACTTCACTGCTGGATGTATAATTCTCAGTCCAGTCCAGCTCCAGTCCAGGCCACACAGTTTACTAATTCTTTAGGCTTCAGTTCTTTTAAAAGATCTTTGGTCTCATGTTTCCACTTTCCAGCAAAATTTAAAAATGCTACTTGACTACAGTCTCTCAAGTTCCAGGAAAGCAGTGGCAACTGCACTCACAGAGCTGGGAAGCCTCCTGACTTCCCTGTCGCCATAGTTACAGTCCTCTCCCTCTTTAGGGGACCACGCACAGAGACCACATGCCAAGGCAGTTTGGGTCCTGAAATGTCTTCCTGGAACTCCCTATCCTCATTCTCCTCAATCCTCAAAACTGTGCCCAAGCCATTTACTATAACCTGAAGCTGGGTAAGAAGAGAGAGACCTATTTCCTAGCAAAAATAGTCCTAGAACATAAGACTATGAAACGCCACATTTCTCTCATTTAGTACTAACAAGAAAGGAAAGTCTTTACTATTCAAACAGCCTACATTAGTAGATTTTAGAGTAAAATTACACCCTGTAACACATTCTATCTTGATGATACACTCTCAAAGACTCCTTTTTATACAACTTACCCCTTGGGCTTTGCCCAAACCCTCCTGGGCCATCCCACGAATCTGGCTGCAGAGCTCAGCTTTAAGAGTATCTTAACTACATACAGTAGCTTAAAGCAGTATCCACTCACCAAGACGTGAGCAGCTCTGAAGAGGTAGCTGAATGGGTAGTACAGCAGATTGATGAAGGATGCTGCATAGAGATCAGCATAGCGCATCACCTGACTGGCAAAGAGGGTTTGCCGGGAGCCGCTGCGAAACAGGCTCCCCATCATCCCGTAGCACATGTCCATGTCATGAGTTACTTTCTGAAAACCAAGAACGAGAGTGTCAGCTCATTAAAAAAAAAAAAAAACTTATTGAGTATTGGCTTTGTGCCAGTCCCTGTACAAAATCAGAAATATGAAAATCAATTTTATTTTCCAAGTTTTCTCCCAAATCCCACTGGGATACCTTAATGCGTCTCTGGATGGAGCTGATGTCCGGGCGCTCGTTGCTGCTGCTGTCCAGGTGCCTGGGGACAGAAAACCCAGTGTGAATCTCCAGAAGGACACCGCTTGTGCCCAGGTAACTCCCAAAAAGGCAGACGGGTTTTAGGGGATAAAACTTCAAAATTAGAAAAAAACTTACTTGTAGAGTTCAGCCAAGAAAATATCCAGGCTCTGAAGTTCTTCAAAGAGTGCTAGTTAAGGTGTGGAAGAAAGAGGAAAATATTTTAAATGAAAGAAAAAGCACCCAGTTTTAAACTGCTGAAACTGAATGAAAAGGTTGCAGATATGACTGAAGAATAAAGCCACAGGTGGACGCACACAAGAGCTTCCTTCTCCCCATTCAGGAAGGCCCGCGGCTCCCCTGCCTGCGGCCTGGTGGTGGACCACCACCACAACGCCGTCCGTAACTGCCTTCTTCCCACTGAAACATCACTGACCACAGCTCTGCTCCAGCTGGATGCTAAGCCTTCCATACTGACAGCGTGCCAGTTCACCTGATGTCCTAGATGTGTCAGCAAAGCAAATACTAACACAGAACAAGGTGACTGTCCAGTTACAAGTGTAGGAAACAGAGCCCAATCAACTAGCTACCTAACACTTCATAGGTGGAAAGCTGAAAATGTGGATGAAAGGCTACCAAGAAAACCCCACTGCTACGTAGAGACAGCACCAACAGCCAGCATCGGCTGCATGCTCCCCTCTCTCGGGCTCCCCTAGAGAGAGAATTAAGCCTTAATGTAGTTTCTATAATATATATAACAACTGTCTTCATCTGCCATCTTGGGGATAACAGGGAGTCATTTAGTCATTTTCTCTGTGCTGTGGGTCAGATAAGAAGCCACTGTTGACAAGGGCTATTACTCCTGTCTTCTTTATACACACGACACCTCAGTTAAGTCGCATCGGCCTTATGTGGTAGGTGTTATTATCCTCATTTCACATTTGAGGAAACCGAGGCAAAGGGTGACTCGGTGGCTCACCTGAAGGCAGCAGGCGTCACCTGTCACCACACTGGGTGAGGCTGGCTAGCACTGGCCCAGAACTCGTATGTCAAACATCCTCACGTAACTAAACCCACAGCTCACGTTTTGGTGTCCACAGTGTAACCTGGTTCCAAGAATGGAGTCTGGCCCTTCTCTGCTTCTCAGAAGAGCAAATGAAAAACACCAGGAGGTGGTTAACGGAGAGCCGTCAGCACCGCTGGACAAACGGGACCGCAGAGGGGCTCACACGTCGGCTGCCACAGTAACAGAACTTGGGGGTAACGTTTTCTAATTTAAAGGGGATCAAGAGGAAACTGAGCAAGATAACATCTAGTATTTCCTCAAATTCTGGACTTCCGTGAACTACCTGGCTATCTGGGAAGAAGGCTGGCAGACATCAGGGCCCATCCTCTGGTCCCCCCGACCCTACACAGGAAGTGATGGCGCAGGCAAGAGGACCGACTCACAGCCGGCCACGCACAGGAACTAGCCGTGCCAAGGGTCTACACAGTGGGTAACGCTCCTTACAGCTCTTATCAGTCCAGACGTGAAGCTCCTGTGCAAGTTCAGGAATCACCAAGAAAGTTCGCCACCCTTGCCGTTTCTTTGATTTTAAAATGTCCCCGAAAATGTGATCTCCGATATACAAAATATCCTTGCCCTTGGCTCCCAACAGGTCACATATTGTATCAGATGAACCTGAAACGACAGAACAAAGAATGAGAAAACAAAAATAGCCCCACATTAAAAAAAT